GCCGCCCGCATGCGACTTTGAGAGAAGCGGCCTCGTTCACGACTCTCAAGAACGACGCTGAAGGGACGTCCGAAATTCGGCGCACAATGCTCATTCCGACGCCCGCCACATGACGCCCACCGCAGCCGCGTTGGTCGGCGCGCGCCGCCGCCGACCATCACCACCGACCAACGGCTCGCACGGCCGTGCGGTGAGCAAAAATTTGGGTCGCTGCGCGCCTGCCAGATGCTCTGCGACGTCTGGACGCTCGCCAGAAACGCCAGGAAGCTTGCCTTCCACCCCTGGGCCCGAGGGCGAACGGCAGTGGTCGGCAGCCTCTGCGACGCTCCGATCGGCTCCTCGACCTCATCGCTTGCGACGAGCCAGCATGGCTCGTCGCTCGACGGCAGCCTGCTCAGTATGCTCTTGGCATTCTGTACAGCCTCGCCAGGCTCTCTGAGACGGCCTGCAGGGCCGGCGCGGACCGCCTCGGGCGCGATGGCCCTCCTCAGTACCTACCTCTTTGATGCCTGTCGGCTCTCCAATCTCGTCGCCGGCGGCAGGCCCGCATGGCGCGCTGCTCGATGGCAGCCTGCTCAGTACGCCTTGGACAGTGACTTCTGCCTCGCTGCTCTTACTGCAGCCGCCTCCGGGACCGGCGCCGGCCGCCACGCCTCGCCAGTGCTGTCTACGCCTGCGACACGCGTGTCGGCTCGCCGCCCGCGTCGCCCGCGGCGGGCCCGCATGGCTCGCCGCTCGTCGGGAGCGTTCCCAGCAGGCTGTGCAGGGCAATCTGCCTCACTCAGGGCGCCGCCGCCGCTGCGCGGGGCCGCCACCGGCGCCGCTGCCGTGAACACTGCCGCCGTGTACGTCACCATCGCCTCTCTTCGTCGCCGATCTCGCCGACGCCGCTCGCCGCTCGCCGCCGCCCTGCCCTGCCCTGCCCTCGCACAAACAAACAAACACACACACACACACACACACATACAGACACACATACAGACACACAAAACACACCCTACCCCAACCTCGAGCGCCCCGCGCCTCCCGCCTCACGCCCTGCGCCTCACGCCGCGCGTCCCACGCACGCCCCGCGCCCCGCGCCCCCACGCCCCTCACCTCGCGCCTCACGCCTCCCTCCCCACCCTCTCAGGCATTTCTCCTCCCTGCTGCTCGCCGACTCCTCCTCCCCCCGCATGACCGACGACTACCCGTCCTTTGGCGACTCCTCCCTCTTCGGCGCCAACGCCCACTACCCGTTCGGCCCGGTGAGGGGCAGGAGCGGAGCCATTCCAACGGCTGGGAAAATTTCTGAACGGCCGTGCATGCGCCTGCATGCCGGACAACTAAGAAGGTCCCTCGCTCCTGCTCCTCTCTCGGAAGACGCGCGCCGGCCTGGGGGATTCGCTTGCGATCCCGCTCCAGCCAGAGGCCGCGTGAGGCGTGTGGGACGGTGCACGCTGGGGCTCGGTCCCCGAGTGCGCTGGCCTCGCGTCTCGAGGGGAGGACGGCTTGTAACTGAGGTTCGCCGTCAGAGACAGTCGTCCTCCCCTCCTCGGCCATTCCAACGGCCAGGCCGCTCGCTTAAGGCTGATTGGCTAGACGAGCGGTCTACCTCCGACGGGGCGGTCCGGGAACGCGTGGAACCTGCCCGCCTCGGTGGGAGGTGGTTTGGCGCCGACGGACCGCCCTCTCCACCACCCTCGCCCAGGGATCTACAACGCTGTCTCAAGGTCCGACAGGTTCGGCACCGGGCACCGCCTCGGTATACAAAATGCGCCTGCGGGCGGACCCTCACAGATCACAGATCACTCTCAAGAACCACCCTAAGGTGGCAGTCCGGGTTTTGCGAGACGGGTGTCTCCCCAAGAT